GTAAGAGGTTATGAACAGGTGGAGCTTTCCTTACCTCTTCCCCCTCCCCCTTTTTTCCTTTTCCTTTTTTCTTTCCCCTTTTTTGCGCTCTGATTCACAATGTGACAATATATATATATATATATATATATATCAGCTTCCTGACGAGTCCGTGAAACTCAGACGAAACAGTTTGTCACAGCCCGTCGTTTGTTGTCCTCTTCTACCTCCCTCTCTGCCTACGGTTTACCGGGCAGCTCTGTTTGACGATATATGTATATATTTATTGTCGTATATATCTATATATATCTGTTTGACGATATCTTCATAACGATTTCTTTTAGACGGTGGTTGAATTTTTGTTTGTAGTTTTCGTTTTTGTTCACACGGAGATTTGTCGTTGGCGTTACCTTGAAATAGACGAGAGACAGAGGCGTAGTGTGTGTGCGTGTGTGTGTGTGTGTGAGAGAGAGAGAGATACACACTTGCAATATTAGACAACACGTGCGAGGTTTTACTATCGCAGCATACACGTCCTGTCCATGGCATGCGACAACTGTCGCGATTACCCATCTACCTCACTGCTGAGAGAGAGAGAGAGAGAGAGAGAGAGAGAGAGAGAGAGAGAGAGAGAGAGAGAGAGAGAGAGAGAGAGAGATTCTCTCTTTTACTATGAATGATTCATTCTTCATAGTTATACTGCCTTTACAGCGAATGCTAAAGCTGTTCTCCAAAGTGGGATATGATAGATTTAGTGCAGTGGTGCCGTTCGAGTGCCAATTTTGATTTGAGAAATTTGTGCCGTTCAATCGGTCGAAATTTTTTAGTTCAATTGCAGCTGAATTAGCGGACGATCGACGTTTAGTTGCCCAAGCAAAGTTCAGGCGGGTAAAAAAAAAATCCGCCGCGTCCCGGGCCCGGATGACCCGTGTGCGCACCGGTGTACGTAATGGCTACCGTGAAGCGACAGGCGACAGACGACGGGGCAGGTGGAAAAGCGCGGGCGGGCAGAAAGGTGCGCGGCGGGGCGATGTCCGCCCATCTCTCTGTCTCTCTCTCTGTGTCTCTGTGTCTGTCTGTGTCTCTCTGTGTCTCTTGAAAAGAAAGCTAGCAAATGGGCATCGTGACGTGACCAGGGACAGGGTGGGTGGAAAGGCGCGGGCGGGGTGGTGGGCGCGTCTACCGACAGGCAACGGGGCGGGTGGAAAGGCGCGGGCGGGCAGGAAGGTGCAGGGCGGACCATTGTCTCTCTCTCTCTCTCTCTCGATCTCTGTTGGGCGATGACTGAGCAGAAGGGGCAGGAGGAGGAGGAGGAGGTGGAAGATGACAGGGAAGAGGAGGGAGAGGTGGCCAAGGAGAAGGACGATGGTGGAGCAGAAGGGGGAGGAGGACGAAGGGTGGGCGAAGGAGGAGGAGGAGGGGGGGAGGGAGGAAGAGGTGGCGGGAAGAAGGTTCGCCGGCGTGGTGGAGATAAGGGAGTAGTTGTGGAAGAAGCGGAGGCGAACGAGGGGAAGCGGAGGAGGAGTAGGAGGAGGAGAAGGAGGAGAGGAGTGATGGACGCGCCTAGATGTCATCGAACCGCGCTCCTGAAGTGGCATTTCGCCGGAGGGGGAGGGGAGAAGGGAGAGGGGAGGAAGTCCTGTTCTGGAAAGGGTATGCTGTACTGGGGGTAGTCCGGAAATGCCAGTGTCCAGGCAGGTACCATAGAAAAGGCAAAACGATAAGGAACTCGCTAAATTAGGAAAGCAAGAGAATGGATAAAGAGCGAAAGAATGCAAACGAAAACAGAAAGGGGGTTGGAAGAAGAACGGATGCCAACGAAGACCTGGGGTGAGGTCCCACTACCAAAAGAGGCTTGGATAAATATCCTGAATCTGGACGTGTTTTTTAAGCAGAGATGCGGAAAAGCAGTTCAATCTCGACATTCTGCACCTGTCCACAAACAAGTCCAGATTCACGTGTTCAATCCAATCCTCTTTGCTAGTGGGACCTCGCCCCCGGTGAGTACCACCCCTCAATGAGAAACACACACGCTGCACTGGTACCGATATCAACAGGTGGACAAGCTGAATGCGTCAATCATGGGAGGAGAAGAGGTGGACCGCGTTGGTATTCCAAAAACACAATAATATCAAGAAGATTTAAAAAAAAAAAAAAAACTTTTTGTACCCTGTTGAACCCCCATTACCTGGGATGACTTAGTTTTGCCCTAAGTGGTGGCCACGCAAATGATCAGATTTGCCCAATGCCGGCCTGTCAAGAGGAGCTGCTCCTGGTCCAGATCCGGGCCACGTTCACTGGGCAGGTTTTTGGTGCGTAGGATGTGATTGTCTTTTTACGATGACGATGATTCCACTGCCGCGGTGGTGGTGGTGGTTTAAACCACTGAAGTACTTCCTCGAGTCGTGCCCGTTAAAGAGAGCCACGATTTTAGGGGAAATGTACGGGCCACTACAGGAGCGGCCAAATTCATCCGACTAGGAACGTTTCTACTCTATATATATATATTTTTTTCCTGCAGCCGATAGCTGGGCCAAGTACTGGTGGTTTAACAAAGAGAGGAATCAGTCGGGCGCAGAGGTGGAAGTGTTTTAACAATGATTAATTAAAGAGTTACCGTCTTTATCCGGTCATTATAGCCGTATTAGCCGTATTTGGGGCAATTTTCTGTCCAGATGCAGGGATAATGACTGGGCGGTGTCATGATGATGACTCAGGTGCAGAAAGGCTACGGTCTTCATCCGGTAAATAGAGACGTATGTTGGGCAATTTTCTGTCCAGATGCATGCAGCGATAACGACGGGGCGTCGTTGTATTCGTGTAAGGATGGCAGGCAGTGTAGAGCCCCAGCAGTATTTTCAGATGAGGAGGTCTTTCTTGAGCAATCACAGGATGATGAGAAGCTCTGTAGAGATCGCAGGATATGGGACCAACCCCTGGGCCCTTTCTTTGCCCCTAGTTCCGCGCAGGTCCACCATTGCCACCGCCTGTTCACGTCCGTGCTATAAGATGCCCACAGTCTTCCCCCGAATACAACGTACGGTCATTATAGCTGAATTTAGACTGAAAGATCCACCAAATTCAGCTATAATGACCGTACGTTGTATTCGGGGGAAGACCGTAGGGCCAATTCTTGGATATCCTTCATCAAGAGAGAAGGGCCAATTCTTGGATATCCTTCATCAAGAGAGAACTTAGTTTCCGTGGTAATCAGGTTTAGGTTTGATTGAAAAGGAAGAAATCAGGTTTAGGTTTGATTGAAAAGAAAGAAATCGTTAAAAAAAAAAAAAAAAAAGAAAGAAATCAGGTTTAGGTTTGATTGAAAAGAAAGAAAGGGGGTAGAAAGACAAAAATGCATTTGGTAGTTTCCGTGCTGATCGGGTTTAGGTTTGATTGAAAAGAAAGGAAGGGGGTTAAAAGACAAAAAATGCGTTTTCCGTGCTGATCGGGTTTAGGTTTGATTGAAAAGAAAGGAAGGGGGTAAAAAGACAAAAAATGCGTTTGCTTAGCGGAAAGGACGTCAAAAGGAGACAAGGTGGTATGTCACATAACGCCTGAGCATCACACGTTCAGGCAATTAATGTCCAGACATAGGTGACGTCTGAGTCCTCAGCCATTTGATACGAGGCATATGAGCATTACAGAAGAAGAGCCTCGAGCATTACACAAGAAGCCTCGAGGTCAAAATTTGCCTTGTCAGAATGCGCATCCAGAAGATCGCAGTAACTGACATCCTAATTGAGAGAAGAGACTTAAAGGAAAAAAAGACCCTTTCAAGAGATAAGCGGAGACAGATGAAGATTTAAGTACAAGGTGTTTGAAGCAAATACGATGGACTTGAGGCGAGACGCTTTGTCTGCGAAAAGATTCGACTATGATTACCTGAGCTTTATGGGTTTGAGAAGGAAGCCGGAAAAGGACAGAGGGGAACAGATGGGATCAATGTTGGGGAGAGAGAGAGAGAGAGAGAGAGAGGGAACAGATGGGACCAATGTTTTTTTTGGGGGAGAGAGAGAGAGAGAGAGAGAGAGAACAGATGGGACCAATGTTTGGGGGGAGAGAGAGAGAGAGAGAGAGAGAGAGAGAGAGAGAGAGACACCAATGTTGGGTGGGTGGG